ACATAATTGCACTTGTGCATAATTACACTGAGAATGCACTCAGGTGGCTATTGACCACTATAAGAAAGTAATTATAAAATAATTAATAAATTTATTTAATACGACTTGTTTTTGTTTAAATATAGTATAGCGAGTATTAATTGTGCCGGCTTAATAGAGTACTGGAAACTATTAGATTATAGACAACTGGATCTCAATATTGAAATAGGATTCTCAGGGGACAGGGATGCGACGGAAACCTGGGATACCCTGCTATTCGATCAATTTAAAAGTGTGTTGTATATGACAATGTATGGGATAGTCCTTTCCATAGTTTTACTTATAATCGAGTATTTGATTCATAATTATATGATTTTCAAATTTTTGCTTAATTTTTCCTCTTTTAATAAAAGATTATAGAAATGTATAAATTTTTGTAAAAATTAATTTATAACCAAAGCTATTAGAAAATATTTAATTATTATAATGTATTGTTATTAGGGAATTCATTTTAACAAACAAGTATCATAAGATGTTTGTGAATACTGTACTGTATAAACATGCTGTAGTTAAATGCCTCGTGTCGATTTAATAAAATAAATAAAATTTTGATATATAACAGTCTATTATGTTTATATTAATTAAATATTATTCAATCGATCACTTTATTCATTTTCAATCATAATAAAAAAAAGTATATTGAGTTGGTAAATAACAGATATTTTTAGAAAATAACATTTTGTATATCATTTGCAACTTATTACAAATTACATAAAGAAAGTGAGTTTCCGAAATAAATAAATTTTAATAAGTTTTACTGCACTTATTATTGTATGGCATCAAGTGACTTTTTCATACTGTTAATGTCGTGCATGTGAACATTTAAATTAGTTCAGTTTATTTAATGTTAAGTTTAAATGTTACGTACCATTAAAGTAATAATTAATGTACATGGATAATCTTATAAACAAAAGTGGGAATATATTACTGTAGTAGAGTACAATACTTTACTATACATAGATAAAGCCTAATTTATTTTTTATCCAGTACTATTTGTATTGAATGCGTTTTTTGATTCATAAGTAACACCAGGTCATTACCATTTTTAATACTTGTGTATATTATGAACATTTATAATAAAATACAATAGTAATTTATTTTCATGGACATTGATAACATTAAGTATAAGCGACAATTGTTATACTAATTAATACATTTAATGTTTATGTAGTCGTAAATGTTATTTGAATATTAGATATAAGAAATAATTTTTTTGTGTTTCGTTATATGAATAATAATATATCACTTTTATTAATTAGTAACGTACTGAAAAACAATTACCAGGTTTACATAAAACTATAAAACATTTGTCAGCAAATAATAATAATTGCATTTAATATTGAAATCATGAATCCGTTCAGGCTAAATTTAAATCAAACTCTACTAAAAGTGGCCAGCAACCAGGTAACTATAGTTATATTAATTTTAAGAGTTTTATTTATATACATACACTACTAATAACAGATTATTTAATATACTACCAGTTCAATATAAGGAATACTTATATTAAATTAAATTAATATAAAAAAATTAATTTGCAATATTTAAAATTAAATTGTAATCCCTGTCCCCATACCTGTCCCACAGAATCCGCCATTTATTGTCTTCAACTCGTCTTCAAGCGGTGGCTTTGAATTGCAATTATTGCAAGAATTGAGTGCTTTTTATAACTTTAGGTTTCAGTTAATAGATTGTCAGTACAATTGGGGCCGGTATGTGAACGGCACCTGGNTTTTTATAACTTTAGGTTTCAGTTAATTGATTGTCAGTACAATTGGGGCCGGTATGTGAACGGCACCTGGACTGGACTTATTGGGGATGTGTCGCAAAATGTATGTCTAAATAAATATATTTACAATAATATTGAGATTGCATTAAATACTAAATTAGATATATTTTAAAAACAAAAGTACAGCTATACTCATACAGTATGATTGACCTCGATGTCTACCAAAATTTATTAATCATTTAAATTTTATTTATTACTATTATTAAATTAGTTTATATTTACAGTTTTTGGTATGAGGTGATTTTTAAAAGATTTTTATTTGAGATATTAAATCATTTAATATTATTATTATTTATAAATATATTTATTATAATTGAGTAATAAATATAATAATTTGATTTTCATTACAGTTAGAGTTCAATTATTTTATAACTATTTTGTTAAAAATATAAAATTGTTACTGTATAATTTATTAATAATTTCATTTTAAATATAATTCATATACAAGGTGGCTGATATTGGTTTATCCGGGGTATCCATAACCTACAATTATTTTATAACTATTTTGTTAAACATATAAAATTGTTACTGTATAATTTATTAATAATTTCATTTTAAATATAATTCATAAACAAGGTGGCTGATATTGGTTTATCCGGGGTATCCATAACCTCTGAGAGGGCACAAGTAGTCGACTTCACCGAATCACATATACTGACATCACTCACATTCATANATTGTGCCGGCTTAATAGAGTACTGGAAACTATTAGATTATAGACAACTGGATCTCAATATTGAAATAGGATTCTCAGGGGACAGGGATGCGACGGAAACCTGGGATACCCTGCTATTCGATCAATTTAAAAGTGTGTTGTATATGACAATGTATGGGATAGTCCTTTCCATAGTTTTACTTATAATCGAGTATTTGATTCATAATTATATGATTTTCAAATTTTTGCTTAATTTTTCCTCTTTTAATAAAAGATTATAGAAATGTATAAATTTTTGTAAAAATTAATTTATAACCAAAGCTATTAGAAAATATTTAATTATTATAATGTATTGTTATTAGGGAATTCATTTTAACAAACAAGTATCATAAGATGTTTGTGAATACTGTCTGTACTGTAGTTAAATGCCTCGTGTCGATTTAATAAAATAAATAAAATTTTGATATATAACAGTCTATTATGTTTATATTAATTAAATATTATTCAATCGATCACTTTATTCATTTTCAATCATAATAAAAAAAAGTATATTGAGTTGGTAAATAACAGATATTTTTAGAAAATAACATTTTGTATATCATTTGCAACTTATTACAAATTACATAAAGAAAGTGAGTTTCCGAAATAAATAAATTTTAATAAGTTTTACTGCACTTATTATTGTATGGCATCAAGTGACTTTTTCATACTGTTAATGTCGTGCATGTGAACATTTAAATTAGTTCAGTTTATTTAATGTTAAGTTTAAATGTTACGTACCATTAAAGTAATAATTAATGTACATGGATAATCTTATAAACAAAAGTGGGAATATATTACTGTAGTAGAGTACAATACTTTACTATACATAGATAAAGCCTAATTTATTTTTTATCCAGTACTATTTGTATTGAATGCTTTTTTTGATTCATAAGTAACACCGGGTCATTTTTAATACTCATGTATATTATGAACATTTATAATAAAATACAATAGTAATTTACTTTTATGGACATTGATAACATTAAGTATACGCGACAATAGAATGGTTATATTAATGAATACATTTAATGTTTATGTAGTCCAGGGCCGCTTGTTTACATGTTCACACTATAAGCAGGGTATTGAATGAATGCTATAGTGAGTTGTGATTTCTGGGCAATTAATTGCACATAACTATTCATACATACAAAACACTCGTTACAATTTGCACATAAAACCAACCCTTTCACTGAACAGCTTATGTATGCTATATAGCAAACCCTTCATTTCATAACTCCCACTCCCAATACAGTAACAGTTGAATAGTAATTCAGAGGTAGTGCCAGGCTCGTCCCTTCCAGGTAACTTGGGTATATTCTAGGTGATAAGCTCAGCACCTATTACTAAACAAACAAAAAATCTAGGCACTAAACAAACATTACTGATAAGGTTCAGTGTACCGGGTGACCAGATAGTGTAGGAATTATAATACTCTTATTTCAAAATAATTTATATTTAAAATAAAGAGATTTTGTTATATTTACAATAAGTTTGAAATATTTTAACTCATTTTAGATAGAACTAAATTATCCTAATTGTAAAGTAAG